TGGGCAGGGCGGCTTGCAACCTCCTTTCCCAAATTTCTCTTCTGTTTTACAGGAGGGAAAGCAAAATTGCAAATAAGTAACTAAAGATGACCCACCAGAGAGCCGGGAAGTGCCTTCAAACGGGTCACTGCAGCAGGGAACGAGGGTCCCCAAACTCCCACGAGAGGCACTCGCGGTGAGCCCTGAGCAACCGGCTCCAGTGCTTGAGAAGATACCGCGAGTAGCCTCCACCACCCAGGAACAAGAAGGAGGATGACAGCGAAGGCAGGACGCGGCATCCCCGATGCTTGGCACCGCCACGCCAAGGCAGCACCCTGAGGAGCCCTCCGCGGCGATGCCACGGGCAGCCGAGCTGCTTGCAGGGCTCAGCCCTCCTCCGTGCCCCAGCACAGCCCCTGGGCACGGCCAAGCGCTGAACCCAGCAAAGCCCCACGAGCAAAATCTCTCCCCAACACAAGCCGCAGCACTGCAGCCTTCCCAGCAGGACCACCCCATGCCATTCTGAGCACCCCGCTGCACCCCAGCAGCGTCCAGCCCCACACAGCCCCCGGTGTGACAGGCAGCAGGCAAGTCCGAGCGCCACACCGGGGACGAAGTAACCGTGAAACCCAAACAGGGGACACCACCACCAGGGTCAGCAGCGAGCAGCCTTAACCCAGTATTACAGGCCTGAAGCCCTGCCCTACCTCAGCCTGGCTCACACCCCTCAGCAGACATTATTTTGCCCTCAACCACTCCAATTTTGGTTCAACTGACCGTATATAAAGCACCAAGCACCTGAAATACATGCCCTTAACATAGAGCACAGTCATTTCTTTACCGGCGTCATAAAAAAGCACCGGTGGGCTATATTTATTTCAGCAGAAGCATCCAATTTCAGATATTGAAACCAAAATAGCTGAAAGGTATGAGTTAGAGCCAGCCGGCGTGGGCAGCCCGGTCCCACCCACCAACAGATGAACACACAGCAGCGCTTTTTAAAGCCAAACCAAAACAAGCCACTGCTAAAACCAAGCAAATGCCCAGAGAGGTACAAGCCTAAATAAAAGGGATATGAATTAGCACACAAGGTGTCTGAAATAAACCCATCACACCTGCATTGGAATGGCCCTGCTGAAGCGAGGTTTAAAATAAACCCGCTCGATGCCGCTGCGGGAGGCAGGTCCAGGGGAACGTTACCGCACCAGGATGGAACTGGAGCCGCACGTCGCTTTGCACCAGCTCGGCTTCCTCCGGAGAGCTCAGCAAGAGGAGGAAAATGCAATGCCCAGCACTGAGCAAGAGCTCAGAGCAAAAACTTCCCCTGTCCAAGCAGATCTCTCCAACCTCACGTTAAGGGATGGCGTTAGAGCAACCCCGGGGTTCCCAGGATGCCTTTGACCACGCAGAGCACCGTCTGCCTCCCACAAGCTCCGGCGATGTTCGAAGGGCAGCTCCGGGTGGTCTCCCCGCAGGTAGCAGCCGCACAGGATGCTCAGGTGCCGGGCGGCTTTGCTTTCATCCAGACGGTACCTGGCCGAAGGGTGAGCCACAAAACGATGTGGAAAGCAGAGCGGAGGGCAGCTGCTGGCAGTGCGATGCATCCACGTCTGGGGTGGGGTGGGGCGACGCTCGCAGGGCGGGCAGGAAGAGGAGAGCCGGTTCCTCCGGCACAGCTCGCGATGACGAAGCCAACCACCCACCACGACCTTGGCCGGGAGGTGCCGAAACCGCTGCCTCGCCGCCCCAGGAGAGATCTGCAGGCGCCTCGCCACCCAAAACAAGGGATATAGCCACAGTGCCTTCCAGGGGCATCACCGCACGGGAGGCGCGGCCGAGTTGGAGCCCCACAGTGCCCGGTTCCGTTCCACCCCGTGGGATCGGCGGAGGCTGACTCAGGCAGAAACACCCCCGCGTCACCGCTCCGCTTCCTGTCGCACCTCTGGGAACGCCCAGGTATCCCATCCCACCTCTGATCCCGCCCGGCCCTGCTTAGCTTCAGGGCCTGCCGCCAGAGCTGTGCTGCGGGTGCTCCGCAGCCCCTCACCTGCCTCTCGGGTCGCCGCCCCAGCCACTGCACCCGTCCCCTCGGCCTGCAAGGCCTGCGCTGCATCAAGGAGGAGGAGGACGCTGCCTCCAGCCCAGGGCCAGCGCTGGCAGGACGGCGGGTGGGAGGAAGCAGAGAAGGAAGCGGCCCCAGCTTGGTTTACACGAAGCTGTCAAGCTGCCGCGCTGATGTTGCCCAGGCACGGACAAACCACCCCAACCAGCTCCACCAGCACTGGGAACACGGTTCCCAGCAGCCAGGAGACTGGGCTCAAAGGATGTGCAGAGCCACTCAGCACTTTCCAAAGCACAGGGTCATACAGGAGCCCCTGCACATCCCCAGGGCTGCAGGGCAGAGAGGGCACAGTCACCTGCTTCCAGCAGGCAGGACAGATCACAGGAGCCTGACAGCCCACGGAGCACCACGTCACAGGGCCGGAGGTGGGCTGTGACACCAACCAGTGTGCCCGTTGGATGGGCTTTCACGCCTGGAGTGTTTGTTGGTGGCACCTTCACCTCTTCCCTCCCCCAGGCAAACCAGCCAGCCAAGCAGGGTGCTCAGCAGCACCAAGCAGAGTCACACGGTGCCGGCCATGCGGTGCCCACAGGAGCTCACTGCACAAGGTGGAACAGGACAGCTCTGCCGACATCCACATCTCCTCTTAGGGTCTGGACTCAGCCCAGTGGCAGAGCAACCACATCCCCACTGGGGTGCTGGGACGCCCAGGTGGGCTGGGGATGCCCCCGTAGCCAGTCCCCACCCACCCCAACATGCTCCGAGGGAAGTCCGAATCCATCGCTGGGAGAGACTCCTGGCTCCGAGCACATGGCAGGAGGGATAATCTGTTTAGGCTGCCGGCAGACGTAATCAGCCTGTCTCGGGTGGAGGCAGGGCTTGTTTTGTTCAGGCTTGGCAACTGAGCGGG